TGTGCTGGTTGGGCGACATAACAGGTTACCGCTACTGTTTATTCCAAAAACATTGTGCGTCTTTCGGAATTAAATTCTAAAAATATCACGTAAATTTCGTTACAATTTCTCAGAAACGATCATTGCGGGAAAATTGTGTGCTGGGACTAAGATTTTTTAAGGATCGATGCGATAAAACGATAGTTCGAGGAACGATAGAAGCGGGAAAATGTAACATTATTTTATATGGGATGTATTCGGGACCGAACAAAACGGACGATGCATCCGGGAAAACGATAGTTCCGGGAACGATGGATAGAGGTTTCACTGTAGTTATCAGAGTTAATATAATAGTTGGCCACACTAGTTATCAGAGTTAATATACACCCTGCACATTTTTAAAAGTGACAGTAACACCCACGCCTCATTGAAATTCACAGGCACAGACGACACAACCACGGCTCACCGTAGACCAACAATGGCAATCAGGCCAGTGGACATAAAAGCTAAGTACTCAATTTAATACACCAACTCCTGCACAATTAACGTCCAGTGAGGTGTTACATAAGTATGGTTTCATAGAGTACATACCTTCCATGCTCTGCAGAAAACCATAGTCTTTTGATTGTATTATATGAATTAATTTGTTTTGCCACTGATGATGACCTCTACGTCAAACGCATTTGGCATTAGTGTCCTTTCAAACGTAAACAGTTTTGTTTGCATGCATGATTTTATATTCCAAGGTTTTAAGAATGCATTGATATAATGACAGAGGCTAGCTCCAAACATAATGTACCAGAAAACTGACTTCCTTAAACCTTCATATCAGGCCAATTACCTGTTTCAGAAAAGAAATTCAAATCTTTGAACATGGACAGTACTTTTTTAAATACTAACCCAACATGTTATTTTCATATCAAACATCATGAAATGTATGAGATGACACATAACTTGACAGTGTGAGTTATATGACACTCCATTCTCTTATGCAATGGCACCTGTTCAATCCTGTTCACAATGTTTAGTTCATTAATGTTGCAGACTAACCTGACCATACTACTGAGCTCCTGTATAATCTCTTGTCGGTGTTGCTGGACCCTTACAGTAGCTGCGTAACGTGACGGATGGGCATCCATTGAGCCTACTACTGCTGCTATTGAAGGCTTCTTGTTGTCACCAGCAGGAGGATGTGTAACATCGGCTCCCAAGAATATCACAGGCTCATTGAACACCTAAGAACAAATCAGTCAAGGGAATTGGAATTCCAGAGCTACCCTATGTAGATAGGGATAATCAACCCAATATTATAACAAAATGTGAAAGAATTTTACCATTATTTTGGTGGAATAAAATTTATTATTATACTTTTGGGAAGGAATTTAAACTTATATACAGATAAAACAAAATTTGTAACATATATCTTCTAAGTTTTGTACTTGTTCACACACATCAAGTTCAACTTGTCCAGCCCCAATGGTTCATTAGTTACCACTGTAAAACTGCAAGCCAAGACAAGCTTTGCACCATCATAATTTTACTATCTTACAGTCCACAAAAAACTACTACACCAAAAGTAAAAAATTTTCAATGATCTATTATCAAACATATTTTCACAGCTCTATATTAAATTAATGTTTCAATCACTTCACATTTGCAAAATTACCATGTTATTACAGTTTGTAGGAAATTAAAATGTACAAAGTTTGGAATGGCCTCTAATGATATAATATTCACACCAAGTTTCATGAAAATTAGTTTAATGACTCATATTTGTATAATCAAGGTCTGTAATTCTGGAAGAGTTACATTTCTTTCAGCCTGTGGCTCTGCTTGTGGCCAATCATATATTATTCTTGGTGTTGGAAGCATACAGTGGCTTAAAAAGTATTTCATATTGATGCTCCATGAATACAACAGTTTCAGAGTTACCAAACACCACCAAAGAGTGTCACCCCCAGCCATGCTTTACCCCTAGAGAAAGGATCCCTTGTACCCAGTAGATAGAAAACTGGGTGGGCCCAAGAGCAGAGGCTGAAAGAAAAATCCTTTGCCCCTGCCAGGGCACAAACCAATCATCCAGTCCATAGTCGGGCACTATTCTGACTGAGTTACCCTGGCCAATCACGTTGGAAGAAGCATAACAATTTAAAAATGTAATCAAAAGAAACTGCTGTAAATTTAAATATACCTTGGGTCTGATACTTGGCACCAAGATACTGTTGATTCCTCCAAGTTTAACATTTATCTTCAGACAAAGATTTGACAAGGTCTGGGGTGATGTTTTGTTTACATTCTTTGCCTGGACACATTGTGTGGCCATACCAAGAACAGTGTCTCCCACCCTCTTCACCTCAGCTGAAACAAAAGAATACAACCAGTCAGTCCCTCAATTCTTGTTTATGAATTTTCACATTCTAACTCTCTATTAACAAGCAGCAAACTCCAAATATCTTTATATAATTGATCCCATGTCAAGTCAATTTTTAAATTTGCTCTTGGGGGCAGAATTTCCCAATTACAAAAATATATTAAAAAAGTATTGGCAAAATTTTACATGCAAACATAATACTAAATTGCAAACTTTATTTTTTCTGATACATTCACAATAATATATTAAAAACTGCAAGCCAGGCAACATGCTTATGTGAAAATTTTATGACAAGTTGACACATGCAAAAAACAGTAACCAAGCAATTAAAAAATAATAGTAAGTTTGTTTCCTCATACTAAATTTCATTCACCATATACTACTGTCCAAAAACCACTTTGTGGGAAAACCGAATGAGTCATCTATAAAGACAGTAAAAGTCATGCATGCTTAAAATAAAAAAAAAACAAGTCACAAAATATTGTAACATTTAGATGCAAGACGACAACTTAGAGGAACATTATCTTTCAATACATAAAATGCTTCAGGTCAAATATTTTGTTATGAGGTGTTTGCTCCGCTACTACTCATGCACAATGCTCATACTGTATACATAACAGAAAAAATGACAACACTACTGAGCATGGCATATCACACTAACCTTCCTCCCCACCCCCTTAATGCAATGTGAACAAAGCTTTAAACTACCTTGACAAGCAGATAGTCACTCAGTCAAAGAATTCCTAACTTTCATGCAACCTAGGTGTGTTCTGGTGTTCGCAACAGCTACAATAAATCACATGAATACAATCCACACCAATTATTTTGAACAACAATAATTTTGAATAGCTACTAATAACAGCAAACACACATTATACATATACCACACTCCTTAAAAATAGCATTATTCATAATTTATGTACATAAACATGATATCCTAAACTTCAACTGGTGCCCTTATGATATTAATACAGAGTGGGATCTACTCAACTCTCTACTCAGGCTGAAGGCACACAAAGTAAATATAGCAATTACACATAACTCATAACTTATATTCCCACTATAATCTAAACTTTCATTAATTTAATTTGAGAATGTAATACTCCCTTCATACCATGTTTGTGAAAAACCTGAAACAGCATCAAAACTGAATTCGTATCTCTGCCACAATGGCTAAAGTCCATGACAAATGACAGGCACTTTTAAGATGATGTTTGTTTCTGCCACTTACCATACACTGGTGTCTTCCCTGGCAGAACTACTACTACTAGCTGGAGGGCTGTAAATGAAGACTTGAGGTAGCGAAACATTGGCTCCACTTGGTCAGGACCCGTAGCATATTTGCCTATCAAACAAAATAACATCAATTATGTTCAGCTATCTCATACATTAGAAAATTGTCTAAGGATAAAAGCTGACGTATCTATGACCATCACAAAGCCTCTGGTTTGGAGAGAGGGGAGGGGGCAGGGTTAAACATAATTAAAGCAAAACTTCAATAACAATCATTCCTGTGTGCAAGGTGTGCATAAAGTGTGTTGGTTTCTGGTTAGTGCAAGCAGACAGACACACGTGGCATTCAACTGCACTGATGTTTCGTCTTCATGTTTGAATTACTTGAATTCACTTAGCCCAGTGTTACTGTCTCATATTTATTGCACTTCCATGGCCATTTGGTAGTATCATAGCACAGGCGGTTAGATGGAATCTTCTCATTGTGGGAACTCAGATTCATGCCCAGAGCAAACATGTGAGTTTGTGGAGGAAAAAGTGGCAATGTTGCAGGTTTTTCACCAAGTTCCTTTAGTTCTGCCCTGTCAATATAATTCCACCACTGCTGATCCATATTCACTCATGTATCATCTGATGGGTGGACAATGGGCATGTTAGGAGCTGCAGTTACAATAAGACACAGTCCCACCCCATCTCAGCAATAACTGTGTCCATTTCATCCAATCACAATGGAACAATGTTAAACAATTATCCTATGCATGTGCACTCACAGATGCAACATACGTTACTTTATGAGTATACTGAGACATGCATTATTAAGAACAGTATTTCATAAAACACTCTTACCTGTCATTACAGAAATTTATACTGCTATATTTCAGGTTACAACATTTCATGAACTACTGTAGTCACATACATAAAATTGAATACTAAATGAAGTTTAGAAAGTTAAAGTGAACATTTCTATGCACTTACTAATAGGAGCACATTCAG